CCTTTTGTGAAGAACTGAGGGTTCCACTTTACAGTAAGGCTACCCTTTGCGAAGAACTGAGGGTTCCACTTTACAGTAGGGCTACCTTTTGTGAAGAACTGAGGGTTCCACTTTACAGTAAGGCTACCCTTTGCGAAGAACTGAGGGTTCCACTTTACAGTAGGGCTACCTTTTGTGAAGAACTGAGGGTTCCACTTTACAGTAAGGCTACCCTTTGTGAAGAACGGAGGGTTCCACTTTACAGTAAGGCTACCCTTTGTGAAGAACTGAGGGTTCCACTGTACAGTAAGGCTACCCTTTGCCACTTATAAATGGTAGTAGCTCATAAGAAGAAAATTGCGGTATAACTTGTTTATAATTGTCCAGAAATGATTTACAAAGTATTACAACCTAATTAATAACCTGCTTATAAACCATTCATAATCCCTTTATAAGGGTAGCCTTATTGTAAAGTAGCACCGAACTGAGAGAGAGAAAGAAAGACAGAGGGTGACTGAGAGATTGACAGACACATTGCCAGAAAAAGTACCAGTTTGTACCTCTGAGGGTACAGTACATTTACTTGTCACTGGGGCTGTACCCTCAAGGGTCTGCCAATTGTACCCTAGCTGTAGGTAAATGTACCTTTTAAGGTGCAGAAATTGACTTTGAGGAACATTTCTGTATCATTCGGGGTACATTAATGCTGTTTGTACCTTGGGGAACAAAATTGTACTAGGGCTGTACCCTTTTTTTGACAGTGCAGACACCTGTTTGCGTTCCTGTTCTTTTGCTCTCCTGTTTTGGATTTGGTTATTTCCACAGTTCCGGCAGCCCCCACCTTATGAACGAGATCCGTTCCCCAAGTCTGTCTTTAAGTAATTCAGAAAATAATAACAGAGTACATGGTAATAATCATACTGTAATTTAATAAAAGTAACTACATACGATATTGTACCGTAACTCGAGCTNATCTGAAAGTAATTCAGAAAATAATAACAGAGTACATGGTAATAATCATACTGTAATTTAATAAAAGTAACTACATACGATATTGTACCGTAACTCGAGCTGATGAACCGCTGAAGCTGCGCAATGTTTTACTGCGCATCACAAAGAAGTGTGTCTGTTATTACCAACCTTTGATTTAACCCGAACAGGCTTTATGTCAGTCCGCTCGTGAGTAGGAGTTGTCCATAAGTCAGGTATTCTTAACCTGGGGACTATCTGTACTTGATTTTCTGCCTGTATTTGGACAACAGATTTGAATGAGAATTTGGCTTTGCTTGCTATTATTTTCGATGCTTTGCCTGTCCTTTTTACTGCTATGCCGGAAATGAATCTATTGCTCCCACACTTGGATTCTCTCCCCATCCAGTCATTACAGGAACCTGTACTGGGAATCCTGGGCACACACTCACATTTTTAAATTATGGTTGTACAGATTTTAACTTCTTAATAACGGAATGATAATTGTAATTATTCAGCACTTATGATTGGTATTTAGTATTTAAAATGTGATTTGTGATTGTGCATGTGTGTTTGCGTGACCTGTGATGGGGCGGCATCCTGTCTAAAGTGAATCCCTGTCTTGTACCATATGCTCTCTAGGATATGCTCCAGGACTCCTTCAGACCCTGCCTAGAACAAGCAGCTGCAAGATTGATGGAATATTTCTTTAGAATGGAATATTTTACTCACAAGCAACTCATCAGGTTGCTCCTGTCAGATAAAAAACAGGAAACTCAGGCTACAGTGGGCACAGGCTCACTGAAACTAGACAGCTGACAGCCTAAGATTGAAAAACAAGTCACTTTGTCTGATGAATCTTTTGTGGATATCAGGGTTAGAATTTGGTGTGAACACCATGAATCCATGGACCCATCCTGCCTTGTGTCAACAGTCCAGGCTGATGGTGGTGATGTAAAGACATGAAGGAGATTTTCCTGGCACATATTTGGCCCCTAATACCAACTTAACATCGTTTCAATGCCACAGCCTGTTCGAGTTTTGTTGCTGACCATGTGCATCCCTTCATGGCCACAATTTAGACAAATTCCAATGTCTACTTCCAGCAGGATAATGCACCGTGTCACAAGACATCTGAAATGGTTTCCATGAACATGACAATGAGTTCTGTCTACTTCCCCAGTCACCAACTCAGAATCCAATCGAGAACCTTTGGGATGCATTAGAACAGGTGATTATCAGCAGAAATGTGCAACCCACAAATCTGCAGCAATTTCATGATGCAATCATAACAACATGGAGCAGAATCTTTAAAAAATGTTTCCAGCACCTTGTTGAGTCCATACTATGAAGAATTCAGGCTGTTATGAGAGCCCCTGGGAATAATACCCAGTATTACAATGGTGTTCTTAATGAGGTGGCCAGTGGGTGTATGCATGTGTAATTAAACGTCGGGCAGTCCAACCCAAAGAAGCACACGATGGGGACCCCAAATCAGCTCGTCATTGCACTGTGGGTGAAAACCAGGACACCCAGAAGAAACTCACACAAAAACTGGAAAAATAAATAAAAACCTTGAAGGAGGGACGCCACCCATTGCTATTTACCGTGTATTAGATTTTAAAATTAGTTTAAAAATATAGATTAAAAAAAAAATAGATTTTTTTGTTACCATTAGATGGAGCCAGAGATCTTTCGATACACGGTGGAGGAAGCTTGTTCGCGATGGGATTTCTAGACATTTGTAGTATCAGGGTTTTCCAGCAGAGGTCAGTACCAACTGCTAATGTGTTAAATAACCGTTTAATAACGTCCTGCAATAAAGAATTCCTGCGCAGACGGTTGGCAGTCAGTTCAATGCAGTCGATGCAATATGTAGGCCCATACAACTGAGAAACACAAAGGACAACCCTTACTAAATATAACATAGACGAAAAACGAAAAAAGTCATCAGTTTTCACTACACATTCAGTTACACACAAGCCATTTAAGCAGTTTGAATAGGGTAATTGTAAGTTGTAATATTTTAGGCACAGGTCATGGAGTGTAAATACATTTTTGTATGTGAAAGGTTCAAAGATAGGTTCTGTAATTTGCAACCAATATGAAACAGTACCTTTGCAACTCAAAAAAACAAAAAACAGATATGATATGAATGTCACTATTCCATGGGGTCTCCAACTCTGGTCCTGGAGAGCCACTGCCCAGTGGATTTTCTATCCTACCTGTCTTCTGATGAACCTGTTCCTGGTATTTCCCGGTTCCTGAAGAATGGTGTATAAACACTGCAGTACCAAAACATGGAGCTTTGTGAATCTCTGTCTCTAAATTACCGATAGTGCATGATTACATACGCAAGTGTGTGATGAGCTGGCCTCCCTTCCTGGATGCCCTATGCCACGTGTCCTGTTTTATCCTGGGATGGACTCCAGGTGCATCAAAGACAAGATGCTAAAGGGTGCTTTAAGGAGCTTAAGCAGGAATAGAAAGGCAGAAGTGGCACAGACAGAAATAGATGCAGCATGGAGGGAGCAAGCCAAGGTGTTTCAGGAGACAGCCTCTCACCTGCACCGGGGCTCTGCTCCCAGTCAAAAGCGACCAGTCTTCAGGACTGCAGGCACAGTCATTTGTCTTTATTGCAGCCTACGCCCCCTCAGGACACTCCAGGAATGGATGGTGAGAGTTATCTCTCGCCTGTAATTGCACTCTCCAGAGGGAACACCTGAGGCAGGCAGGCAGTGCAGCTGCAGGTGACATATAGGCGGCATATAGTCATTCTGCTGATTAAGGCAGTTCCTTAGAATTTCATCCACTGAACCCACTTTCTCAAAACGCAGACTAGTACAACTTTTTAGCGCCTGAACGTGCCTGACAGCGTGTGCGGCTCTGCGCCGGTGCCCAGACGAACAATCAGCATGTTTACGTAAATGTGTCTGATCACATGGTTCCCCTGAGAAACCCTTAAACTAAGCAGCATCATGCTGTGAGATAAAACGAGTGACGTTCCGAAGCTGCTCAGCGTTATAAGCATGTAGTTGAGGATGGGAGCGAAATGCTTTACCAGGCACAGATATCTCCAGCCATGTGATTTCCTGCCATATCACCCATCTGTTCCTCTCATGATTCATCATCATGTCTTGTGAGATTAAAACACATTACCTTTCAATTTGTACTTTTCATAATATTGCAGCTTTTCAAATAGACATACACATAGATTCTTTAGGAGTCAGTTTGCTTTTGACCAGTTTTTGACCTTAGCTTGACTGCAATTACCCTTCCAGTGCCGATATGAGCAGTTAGTCTTTTAAAGAACTGGCTGTGGCCCAAACAATCTCAGTCTTTTAAGACAATGATGTTACAGAAGATTGTTTTCAAAATTATGAAACTGAACGGGGACTGAGGAGAAGCACTGACACAAATGCAAACACCTCATGCTTCACTGAATATAGACTCAGTCTCTGGAAAATGCACCTACAAAGGGCTAAAAGAGTCTTATTTATAGGGAGAAGAGAAGATGATGGAGGAACTTTTTCAAAGCTGCGGAGACAGCTGGGGCTTGTTAGTCTAAATTACAGGGAGCAGATGTTAATTTCTTCCCATGCTCTGCTTCTGAGCAATTAAATTTGACATACTTGCAGGCATTATTTTTTATACACTTGCAACCTAGTCTTTATCCCCATTGTGGGGGTTTTTCACAAACTTTGCCTGCAGTAAACACATATGACAGCTGCAGTGTAAATGGAAATCACTTGCAGTTTGACCTCCAGTCCTTTGGGTTTCTACACACTAGTGCAGCACTGTGGTCGCGTTGCCACCTCTATTACCTGTCAAAATTCAATTTCATGGTGTCCTGTTCATAAAAGGGCATAGAGAAAAATTTCAAGCGGCGACGCGAGTTGAGGGTGGTTAGTATTGCACACACTATAAGCACATCCTGCACCCCATCCAACATTCTCAGTCTACAGCCTCTTTGACGATGTGTTATTTTCTTCTTTTCTCAGGAACTAATGAGGATACTGACAGACGCTGCAGGCCGTGGAAGAATTGGATTCACCAAAAGATGCTGATTCCCAGAGGTATTGGCTTGACAGTAAGAGATACGCAATTGCACACTACCAAAGAAAAAAAGCGAGTTTCTTAGTGATGTTTTTGCTCTGACAGAATGAACAACCAAAGGGCACAAACTACTCCTGAAGCTGATATTTAAATAAAACAATATGCATGACTATACATGAAAAGTAAATGATGGCTCAGCGTGTAGTAGCAAAGTAGATTTTTTTTATTTGTTATCATTTTTAACATTACAGCTGGTCATTCTGCATGCTCAATATCTAAATTAATTTAAAAAATAAACGAGCAGTAAGGAACATTCAGTTGTATTTTTTTTTTCATGCGAACTGAACTGAATTCATGTTGGATAGTTGGAAACTCTACCTTTTTATTATGGAGAAATCATAACATTGAAGAACAGCATTCATATGTATTCTAGAGGAGGAAACACTACAATTTTGGTTAAATGAGTAACTGGTAATATTCAAAGATATAGATTCATTGGTGTATCATTTAATGAGTATTTGCTCTCTTGTACAACCAGTAATGCGCATTTCTTTAGGTTGGAGACAAAGTACATTCTAAGCATTTGTGACATTTACATAGAAGTTGCATAGGACCATATCATGAGTTTCCCTCTACCAGCTTTTCCAGGCAATGCAAACGGGGATGTTTTACTCCGCTAACTTCACTAGGCATGCTGTAAAGTCGCCGTGCCACCCCATCCCAGAGGAAATTAAAACAGCGAACGTTCTGCAGGACATGTCACCTCACGTGAGTGTGAGCTGGCAGGAGGCCGTACTCTGCTGGGCTGGATGCTCACACGGCTTCGTGGTGCTTCCTAGACGGAAGCTCTTTAACAGAGCAATAATTCATAAAAGAATAAAAAGATTTTACACGCAAACCACATCCAGTCACGCAGTGCACATATGTTAATACGTCTGCATGGATAATTTGCAGCCAAATATATTTGCTGTTTGTTTGGCTCATTCCTGCTGATAAAATCAAAATGGGTGGAGTCAGATATATAAGCTAAAATACACATTTCATGGCTTCTAAACACAAACAATGTTCATTTGGCATATATAGGCCTACTTAGTGTTTTTGTTAATATATAATCCCAGTAAGTTTCATTGTTCCTTTTGGAACTTTTTGGTCACATTCTATAACTTTAAAAATATCATTCCTTATTTATGTTACTCTGATATTTGAGATGCTTCTGTTTAATTCCTATTTTGTGTGCACTGCAAATAAACGTATATAGGGACTTTCCAAAATAGATTAATATGACACATTTCAATTAAAATTTGATTGAAATGAGACTTTGTATCAGCCAACACCATATAAACGACGCAGGGCTAGGATCCTCCCTGCCATTTTGCATTACTTTGTAATTGTAATGGGCCCCTTATTCTGTTTTTTTTTTTTAATTGCAAGCATTATTATTTAAACCCATGCTGGTTGCTTGCAATACAACATGAAAATAAAGTATAATATAATGATATTGTATTTGTTTTATTATTACAGTACTGTAATAATATTCATGATAATAATAGCGATAGCAGAAATTAGTGCAAATATACGGTAGAATGCATTCCCATTTAGACAAATTTTAATCTGCGTAAAGCTTGTGTACCTGTATGAGTACATAACTTGGGGCATGCCCATCTGAGGCCTCTCAGGGTTTTTTACTGACTTATGAAGGGCTGTTCATGAGACTTATTTAAAGTGCTGCATCAATGGCGTGCATAATAAGCAGCATTCTTTAGTGCTTCTCCACATTTTTATACAGACCTTATACATCCTTGTTTGTGTGGTGTCTTCATTACAGACAAATGTTGAGATGAAAATTGTTTATAGTTTTGTGAAACTACAGAAGCATGTTTTACACAACTACGGTTTCCCGTATCTCCGCCTAATATGTAGTCGGTTTGTACTTCAAACCGAAATGTGTTTTATTTATAATGTGTTTTATTTAATTTTAGAAATTTAATGTTTTGATGAGGCTGTGACCACTGTCGGCTTATGGCTGAGGTTTTACTGAATCTATGAACGAGCAGACATCTCCTAAACCAATCATGCAAGTAACAAAGCCAGTTGAATTAAGAAGGAACTCAGCAAGCCCTAAAGTACCGGAGATTCAGCAGCTGCCTGAGCAGATGACTGTACTCTGGTCCGCATCGGTCGTGTTGACATGCTCGCATGCAATTTGTCTTTAATACCCAAGGAGGTCCTAAAACATCACGACCTCCATTCATCTGACTCTAAATTCATTTGCAAGTATCAGACAGGGTATGTAATCCACCAAATCTCACTGAGAAGGATACTTGGGCACAGGATGGGGATGAGTTTTCTTGTAGTAGTAGTAGAATTTGTACAGATATTTTTTTTGGGGCGAAGGCAAACGCACAACGGAAATGGTTAACTGATCACGCTAGGGGGCTGTCATCGTGGGGGAAACACACTGGGGTGCGCATTACATTGGCAATCAGCTGCATGACACCCTGGGCCAACCTTTAGGATCAATGAGGGTCGGGCACAGCTGGAGGAAGGCGGCCACAGCTCATTGTGGAGTGCGCCCAAAAGCTGTCCCTTTGTTTACCACGTCCGCAGATGTCTGATCTAAATGTTGGTATTATGCGTTAATGGTACCGGCTACGAAAGGTAGGACTGAAAGCAAGAAATCTTCATTAGTTAGGGTCCCCTGAACCCAATACAAAACTCAAAAACCCGTCAAGTATTGCATCCTTTCTCATAAATTAAAAACATTCGATATGTATAAAATTTTTTAACAAGGCAAATGGTTTGTTATTATTCATCAGCTACTTGGAAAAAAAAAAAACGAAGCTTCAAGTGTCATTTAGTACTGATTTAGTGAGTGTGTTGATGGCAGTAACCATCCACTCAACACTCTTACAAGAACATTTAAAGTCCATAATGTTAACACATTTCATTTGGATGCCTTTTCCTTAGGAAAAACCAAATCTGAGGATATTTACCATTCGAGATGGTAAGATAGTACTGAGAAACAGCATTTTTGTGATGCAACTATGTCAAAAGGTGAATATAAGGTTGATGGGGAGCTGAGGTACCCGGATGCAGGTACCTGTACAGTATATTTGTCGTACCTTCTCTCCATCGCAACAAGCCCATCGGCTCTTCAGAAACTGCACGGCCAGTGATTCTGTTTTGTCATGAAGTACCTTGTTGCACCAAAGATTGCTACTAAAATGGAGTAGATCATAATAATTCACTACATTAGATACTACATGGATAGAAAAAATCTTTTTGGAAAAGCTTAACAAAAAAAAGCTTATTTTCCCCTTGATTTAACCTGAAGATAATTAAAACACTAAATGTAAATGTTTATTTGTGTCAAATGGTGTACGTGAACTGTAAAAATAGCACAGAGGACTATGAACTTCAGATCAGAAACAGAGTACTATTCATATGTGTTTATGGAGATGCACACAAGAATGTAATTGTGAGGAGGAAATAATGAGCTTTTGCATAGAGGAGCTGCAACTGGCATGAATGTGAGCCACCTGAATACCAAGCAAATCTCAAACACCTATATCAGAAAAAAGCAGAATGTAGTTTTTTTTTTTTAAATGCCCCAAAATCCACCTCAGACAATAACAAGTGTGTAAACCCCACGTGTGCAAATGGAGCTCAGGCCTCAACAGTAAGCTCTGCCCCGATCCCGCTAGTCAGCCATGTCTATAGTCCAGAAGGGCTCAGTGTCTGATGTCTGAATGCCGACACTGGAACGCCGAGACTTTGGGGTCTCGCTGTCCCTCCTCCCGAGCGAGCTCTGCTCACTCAGCAGACACTCCAGACTGATGTGCTCCACACCAGCAGAGTCACCCAAAGGATGGTCAGAGTCACTGATGTCCTGTCTGGATGGCCCTGAATCCAGAGAGGTGACCGACGGCTGCCTGTGAACAGAAGCAGGACCCGAGTTGGGTGGGTTGGCAGGGAGATGAACTTCCAGGAGGCTGCATGTGTCCAGGAGGTGAAGAGGGGCAGAACTGGCTGCAAGGTCGCTTTGCTTAGAGCCAGCTGGATGCAGCAGGGGTTTTGTGGATACGTGAAGGTGCGGGTACCTGCTGTGGTCTGTCATGGTGGAATGGGCGGAGGTGGGTATGGTAGATGTGGAGAACGTGTGTTCGTAGCTGGCTGGTAGCTGGTGGCCCAGGCTGGGATGGGAATGACGAAGGTTGACAGGAATGCTAGCTCCATATGGTGATTGTGGAGATGAGGTAAAGCACGGTGTTTGTAGGCATGAGGACCTGGGGCTGGGCGTATGATGGAAGTGATCTACCAAATGGCAGTTCTCTGTCTCGGCCGGCGGGCACATCGCCGCCCCCCTGGCCTGGCTGGTGTTCCCGTGGGCCCCGCCGAAGCTCCACACCCCCCCGGCGTGGTGGCTCAGCGGCTCGTGGTGCAGGTGTAGGCCGCCCGCAACATTGTAGGCCATGCTGCTGCTGGTGGAGGGGTTGGAGACCACATGCACCCCATAGGGGTAGGTGGAAAGGGTTGAGGTGTAGTGCTGCACGGCTACGTGGGTCTGCAGAAAGTGCATCATGTGGTGGAGCTCCTTGGTCAGCTGGGCCACTTCCTGGTTCAGGAGACTCATCTATAACAGGGAAAATAAAAGACTCAGTATGGTACATGAAAACAAGAAGACCTCGGCCTGTTAGCGGAACATGAACATTGAGAATTGGGTAGATTGATTATCTGCTTAGAATGCATGGGGGGGGGAGATCCATTCTAACTGACTGTGATAGATTCACTACTGTCTGGGGAATGATAGCCTCCAAATACCTAGAAGGAATATAGCGCAACACTGTTTCAGTCATGAGAAACGTTCCCATGTTTCATGGGGGTGCATAAAAGACGGCGAGGCTGCTGTGGTTTATGCATTGAAGTATATCATATTGTACATATTGCTGTTCTGCTGAACTTCTAATTTTCTCCTTAAAAATACATTGAATAAGACTACTAGACAGCAACAGGGCTTATTTCTCCAGTAACCCAGCCTTCACCATCAGATTTCTTCTTGTTCCTATTTTATGGAGTGATACCACGACGAGCCCTCTGTTTCCCAGATACCCTACACTGCCCATCCGCTGCCTCTATTCCCTGTTACACCTGCCGATCTGCAACTATGTCAGGAACAGCCTGTTTTCAGCTACACAAAGCCCCAGAGATGGGAAGAAAGAAAGAGACAGAGAAAAGGAGAGAGGAAAATGAGACTGGAAGGAGGTTTTTTTAAGGATCCCTGTGTCAGCATTCCCACTGAGTTTCAGCTGTATTCTACACAGTTCCTCATTCCCATCAAACACAAACTCCTGGGGCCACAGCCGAATTTGATCATTCAAAAATCTGTCATTCAATAGAGACTTCAAGAATTCCCCTTTTAATCCATTTATTACATGAACTTATTAATTATAATTCAAGTTGTTCTTATATCAATTACTGATCAAAATCTACAGTAATAACCAGAGAACAAAATTTCAGAATTTTGCTTTTGCAGCTTTCAGAATGCCACAACATTATTCCATTACCTTTCTTTGGCCGTTAATTGTTTAGTATCATACTAAATCACTGTAAACTGTAGATATTTTGAATGTGTTTTGGTTGTGAAATTGGATAAAGTTTACTGTTGCCACCTCCCCCAGGTCGACAGTCTTCATCATTGCCATCCCAGCCACCCCAGCCCCCCCAGTTCACATATTCTCAGCTCCCCCAATTATTTTCCTTGTAGAGGTACCTCTCACAATATATACAGTTGGAGATCACTGTTTTAGGAGACCCCCAGTCCTCACATACCTCTTTGTTCAGCTGGCACACGCTCTGCCTCACCTCCTCGGTCTCCAAAAGCAGAGTGGCGGTTACCTGGCTGCTGTCTGTTGAGAAAGACGGGGGTGGGGGGGGGGGGGGGGTGGTCAGTGCACATTATTGGCTGGTTCATATGATGCTTTAGGGAAGCTTCAGGAAGTCCGTTAGTTCCAGGCATTTCATATCTCTATCTATAGCAGTTAGATGGGACATGAAGCTTCAAGTATTCCTCACCCAGAATGCACTGCTCTGAGCTGCATCTCTACACTATCGCTGCGTTCCAGACAACTCGGAACTCCGAAGATGTCCAACCTCCTACTTGAATAAGTACCATGGAAGGGCAGACGGATGTCCAAGCTCTGACTGGGAAACTCGGGCCAATTTCACGTACCCCAGCTTCACTACTTATCACAGAAGAAGGTGCTGTGATGTCAGGCAACACGGCATTCCTCCACAGGAGCAAATACCGTGAATGATAAGTAATCAACCGGAGGCCATATACAGTGATTTTTCCTGTCATACATTGCAATAGAAGCACTATAAATAAAACAAAACCAATTATGTATGTAGATTAGTGTCCAAATTAATCACAAATATTGCTAACTATTTAGTTATATGAGTAGCTTTAGTAGTCCATTGCTAGCTATAATCTATAGCTTACAAAAATGAAACTTCTCTGTAGAAACAGAACCGAATCGGGGATTTTAAATTAATCAGCCTTTCGGGGTTATCATGTTTACTGTTTTGTATACTAGTCTCAGTTTACAATTCATAAACTTATTAAATGAAATAATTGTTTTCAATAATAATAGTTTATTATAAAATCATATTAAGACGGTCAGCCATATTGATTGTTTACATTTGGTGTCATGGCTCATTGAAAGGCTGCATGTAGCTCAAAAGTTGGGTTTTTTTGACCTGGAAATTCCGACCTCCGACTTCACCGAACACAGCATATGTCTCTTTATCTCCTGGTCGCAGCACTTTATGCTGCGTGATGAATAATCAAAGGCGACCTGGGGTGGAAGAACTGCAGGGTTCAGCATTCACCTGGAGGTCGATTACCGCTGGCTCTGGCGCCGTTCCTCTCCACGTTGAAGTGAAACGTCCGCCCGTTGTCTTCGATGCCGTCCACGACTCTGCGCAGGGGGCATGGAAATTGCATATCCTTAATTAGCTGCGGAAGGCCAGATGAGAAAGCGGCTGGCGGCAGGGGCAGTTCTGCTGGGGGGGGGGCTCAGATGCAGAGGACATGACAGTATGTGACCTGCCTGGGGGTGCTGAGCCCCCTCCGCTGCCCATCGCCTTTGTGTGTGCTCACCAGTGTGAGTCTGGCCCATTCCATTTATAAAATGAGGGTAGAGTTACGACACAGAGATAAGTCGCTCTGGACACTCCTGTTACCTGAGAAGAACTCAGTGTGTCTTTCCTGTCCTTGGGGAGCCGTTAACCTGTCTGGGTTTTGATAGCAGCCCTCAGATGCCATTTCCCTCCTCGGTGTTTAAAAAAAAAGAATAATAACCTACATGCTTTATGGATTTTTTTCCCCTTTTTAAATCCCTCCTTTTAAGAATAAAGTGGATTTGCTTGTGTAAATACATTCTGAAGACACTGTAAGACATGGAATTCCCTCAGGCAGATCTATCTTCCCAGATGCAGACTGCATACTTACTGTTGGATTTAGCATTAGACTGTAGATTATATTATTACCGCGCTGGAGAAATGAGGAGCATTACATAACAATCTGCTCTTCACTATACACTGCAGTGTTGGCTGGTGGCTAAATAAGATAATACATTTTACAATTACAATAGTGAATTATTCGAAAGAAGAGAGACAATGTGTGGTTAAGTGACAATAAAATTATAGTAATGAGGTATTTCAAAGTTACTTGTTTCACAATTTAATCTGAAAAACAGGGGAGGTACCACCGCGTCCCCCCCTACGGACCTGCGGCCTCTGGTATAGTCTTCGGGGATTTAATGTAGCAGGTACCTGGGGCTGAGGTCAGGGGGGCCAAAACAGTTCAGTGAGGGTATCGGCAGCTTGGAGGGCTTATGACTGTTTCCAGCGTCGTGCACAGAGCCTCGCGAGGGGGTCTGGGGGGGCCGGTGGTGCTCCGCCCTGGACTGATGGCTGGGGGAAGGGCTGCGGGCCCGACAGCCCCGGGCAGGGGAGCGGCAGCGGCGCAGGGCGTTAAACTGGCGGAGTTCGTCGCCCAGCAGGCTGCCCAGTGAGGTGCGTCGCACTGGACTGCCCAAGGAGGGCAGCATGAGGTTCCGGCGCGACTTAGAGGCCGGGGAGAGATGGAAGTGGTCCTCGTGCCGGTCAGCGTGTCCCCCTGCGCAGGGCAGCTTGTGCTCCGGATGGCCGCTGTGGTCCAGCCGCTGTAGAGCAGCAAGGACAGTGAAAGCGCATTACAGACAGTCCCCGTACATCAGTCCACAGGAGCCCCGAGGACCCCTGGGTACGCAACCAGTAATTGGATTTTTTTATGGAGAAACACCAGTTTATTTTTTATTAGTGTAGTGATTTTATATGAAACAATTCAGTGGCTATGTGGACATCAAAAGTAGCCCCCAGGAATATAAGGTCAGGCTTTGCTACGTACTGAATTTAAAGCTGCAGGCAGCTTTTCAAATTTCTGAATTATATTGTTTAACAAGCAATATATAGCTGATTCTCGTCATCCTAGAATTCTGCAAATGGAAACAATACTCACAACCTGAGAATAAGTCGTGGCATGACTTACGTGCGGGACCCTTGGTGACCGTGAAAACCTGGTCAAACCCTAAAAAGTGAACAGGCCGGAATTAACTGGCAGAGAAATGTGAGGCAGCGTCCTTCAAGAAGTGACTGATATAGTTTACTGCACAATCTATCCGTAAATGTTTGTCTTTTTAAACCGTGAGGAGGGGATTTAAGAGAACAGAGGACCAAGCTTAAGTTGGGGGTGGGGGTGAATTAATTATTGCCTGGAATGATCAAATGCCGGGAAATCCGTGGAGCCAAGGTTCTAACTGATGGCGGGAGTCGTGTCTCAGTGGAAAAGGACGCAGCAGCGTATGCAGACAAGGACAACGAAACGAAAACGACAGGAAGACAACGGTGTGTCATCCCTGTAATTGTGAGACTTTCGGTTGTGTCTTATTTAGGCTAATGTAGGCACAGGACAACACTGGAGAAAGTGAGTCTTGTGCATTTTCTTGTACTTCTTCGCTCTTTGGATACATTTTTAATAGTCGCAGCATGGGCGCAGAGAGAGAGAGCGGCTCTCTATCTCGACTGGCCGTTCTTCATTTTGTCATCTTTCTGCTGTGCTTCTGGCCCATCGCCAGACCACACTGTTAGCAGATGGCAACGGCGAGGAGCTCAGAACATTAGTGCTGATAACCCAAAACTAAATACCAAGTTTTTTGGGGGGTGATTTGCATTTCCTTCACTAAGACAAAGAAGACCTTTAAATTGGTTGGTGGGGGGATGACATTTTGTAGTCTATTGTTGACATGCAGAAACTGTCCAACTGCCAGGCTTATGAACTTTAATTCCCTTAATGCAAAGCCTTTGCATATTACATGAGTTATTCAGAGTCCTGATCAATTTCTATAAAAATTAAATAGAATATGTAACAGATATAACAAAATAGTACTTCATATTTTTTCTGTACAGACAGGTTAGTACTGTGCCTCTCAAAGCAGTCGTCGGGGACCCACAGGCAGTCCATGTTTTTGCTCCCTCCCAGCTGTCAGGGAGTCAGGAGGGAGCAAAAACATGGACAGTCTGCGGGTCCCCAAGGACTGCTTTGAGAAGCAATGGGATAGTCAATCATGGTCCACTGTGGAGTCAGCAAGGATCGAGAGCCAGAGAGGACAGCAGTCTTCCACAAGGAACTTAATCATGTTGATGGAAATTATTAATGTAAGTTCCAATAAATACTGGGTTTGGAGTTCGACGACTGGGAAAAATATGGCAGATAAGATTATTATGGTAACACTTTACTTGACGTTGTCATCTATAATGTTACAGATACCATCATAATGCGTTATAATGGTTGGTATAACAATTAATAAAGCATTACAGCATCTTCTATTGACAGATATAAGGTGTTATAAAGTTGACTATAATACTTTAATAAGCTCCAATGAAGTCATTTATAATGCACTACAGATACCTTCATATTGCATTACAATGGTCAGTAGAAGCATTAAGGATGCTTTGTACTGCATTATGAAGGTATTTATAGTGCATTACAGATGAGAGCTTCTGTTCTTAGAATTGGAAGTGGCAATAGAACATGACATAAAATGCGTACGCAAGAACACAAGTATAGTCAAGTACACATATCGAGAAACACTCATTATGTCTGTCACGCATTGGACACCTGTCCTAAAGTGACCCCAGCATTTTCAGCAACCATCCAATACACCCATGTATCATCTGACTCGGCCACCAGCACGCCTCATTTGGCTGATGAATATCTCATTTAACTCATGTAATTTAACTAATTAAGTGAACTGGTGATAAAAAAATAACAAATAGATAGAATGACTGAGGTGCTTCGGAGGAGCGGTTTGGGAACCAAAGCAGTGCTCTTCCAGCCATTCGACAAGATATCAGAAACTTTTAGGAGAGCAGAAGAAATTCATGTTAGTTTTAGTGTTGTGTTACTGTTAATTTGCATATGTTGTAATGTTAAATTGTATTTTTTTTCTGAGCAAATATATACTTGCTACCCAAATAAATAGCTTTAAACTTTTTCATTGACTGCCAAAGACTTTTGCACAGTGCTGGATATCCGGCCCGATGCACGTTACAGGTACTGTATGTCAGACTGTTGTAAATCTGTTGTAAATTTTGTGAGGATGAGATTCCCGTGTATTTGTGCTTGCTGGTGAAATGGGGCCCCTGCGGTTTTCATGCTGATGGATTCCAGCAGACTATTCATGTACATTCTTCACCTTATATGCGCACGGGTGACTTTCTGTGGCAGCCTTACCTCCGCCTCGCTGCCTGCCCTCAGGTTGTAGGTGAGGCTGTGGTGAATGTCGTCTGCAAAGCGGAGAGCATATTCCGGATACAGCTCCAGCACCTCTCTCAGCGCCCTCACACTGATGTGCTGGAGGTCGCAGTACGTCAAGGCCTTCACGTCAGCATTGGTCTTGATCACCTGCTCCTGCCCTGGAAGGTCTGCCCCTATGAGATCCCCCTTCCCTGAAACAGCACAGGATTAGCACACAGCATTGCCAACCCACTGCCTCATGGGTAATTCACACTTTCCTGAAGGGTAACAGTTTACCTGATGGGACACGAATGATATAGTATTATACTATTACTTATGTATTAATTAACCACAAATTAAGTCTTAAGTACATACTGATCTCATGTTAATTCATCATTAATGAATCATGATGCATGTTTTATCTCAAGGAGTTACTATATTTCTTACTCTGTTAATTCTGTAATCCTTTGTGAACTACTGAAGGAGTTACTGAAGGAACAAATAATGGAGGGAAGTTAAATACTGATCTCATGTTTATCATCACTGAATCGCGATGCATCTTTTACTTCAAGTAACAACTATATTTGTTCATGATTTGTTCATAATTTGTACTTCAATAGTAACTAAGTTATTACTAAGTATTTGTGCCCCATCAAGTAAAGTGTTACCTTCTAAAGTTGCTTTAAGACCACTTAATTGCGTCTTTTCAACGGGTCAGCATTTAAAAAGAATCATTAAGGATACAATGTAAAGTGTTCTTGAATAGAACCAGATATAAAAACAGTTGATCAACACCTGAAGTTATTATATTTACATATTCCTCATACGATAGCATAGCAGCATGACGTATGGGGTATAACAGCATTCTTCTAAAATAATTCATGGGCGTTATTTGATGCCAACCACGTACTGAAGATACATAAACACGGTGAAGAGGGGGGCAGCCAGGTGCTAACACTGACCCAAGATGGCTAACACCATGCCGTCCTTCAGCACCTCCAGGGAGCCCGAGCAGACAAAGTAGTTGGCATGCAGGGCGTCGCCGTGGCGGATGAGGTACTCCCCGGGGGCGCAGAAGGAGGTCTTGATATGCAGGGAGAGAGAGCGCAGGCACCCGCGGCTGGCGCTCTCGAACACGGGCAGCTGCAGGATGTCCTTGTTCAGGTGCATGGCGATGTCGGCACGCAGCTCGTCCGGGAAGTCATGCAGAAGCTGTAGGCGATAAGGAGGAGGCGGGGAGCAGGGGCCCAGACCGTAGCGGCATCAGCAGGGGGTGTCAGACTCGTACGGAGGAGGCGCCGTCGAGATTCTCCATTAAACAACCAAATAGCGCCGCTTTTATCATAAAAGGCTTTTGCAGATTGCAGCTGTTCAGAGCATTCCAGACATACCCAGTTGCTGGAAAGTAGGATATTTAATTATTGCAAGTTCAACCAATAATGCCAGGAGAATGGTTCAAAAATAAATCTGGATGGTACACAATGAACTGAGATTGACACCCTTTGTTAAAAAGGAAAAATATGGAGAGTGTATAATAATAAAGGAGGATAGGAAGGAGTCTAACAATGTGATGTCAACTCTGGTGAAAGTTTAAGCAGTTCAGGAAGTTGTCAGAGAATGTGATGTCACTGGAGAAGCTTTAGTAGATGTATTTATTTAATTTGTCGTTCATTTTGAAACTGTGCTTAATAAATCATTTAAATGTTGCCATCTCAGCTGAATTGACATTACACGTCGGCAGAATTATTCAGCAGCCAAAGGAATGTTTACACAAATGATAATTAAGTTCTTAATTACAAGATAAAAATGATACCGATTTACTATGCTGTGTTTTAGTAACACATGATCTCAGAAATGAAATTGCTAACTAAATGTTATTTTAATCGATAGTAAAGTCAATACAGTTCAAAATTCTTTTGCAAGGACTGTTCTATGCTGGATGCTGGATAAGAGGTTAAGGAATATGTATATACCCTACATATGAGCAGATTTATACTTTTGATTTGTCCTCTTAGTGGAAAAAGGTCCCACCTCGTTGGCATCAATGCCGTTGTTGACGGACCAGGTGGTCTGGAAGTACTCCAGCATGCGCTGCTTGAGCTGTTGGGGCAGCCGGTGGACGCGGATGAAGTCCTTCAGGTCCTTCATGCGCGTGTGGTAGAGCGAGCGGCGCGAGTACATGCGCTGGATGATAGCCGTCACGTTTCCGAACACCACTGCATGCATCAGGGCTGGGGGGAGAGCATCAAGGTAACCGATCAGATCGCTCCGATAGCTCCACCAGTCCCACATAAGGCAGACTACAAGGAACGTCTACATGAGCGGTGTACATTAACTGCTTGTAGTGTAGAGGACGTCCTGGATGCAGTGATGGTCTTATGTCTCATGGTGACAGTGGAGCCTGCCCACTGCCTGTCTCCATCTGAGTATGGGGTAGTAACTCTAAAACTAAGTCAATCCTGTTTAAAGTGCTGCTGAGGTGCCACTACAGATTTTGGGCCCCCACTCCAGGCCAGTTCAATTGTGTTCCGAATTTCACAGGGGCCCTGTCACTCAGGGGCCCCTGGAATCATCCTAACCATCCTGCCCTTTATGGTGCCCATGTCTGCCGAGCTGAAGCGGAGACAATAAAACGAGGGATGAGCTGAAGCAAAAGAAGCATGCAAACAGGCAGGGTTCTTGGCAATGGAAAATAAAAACTGCAAAGTTGGTCTCTGTGTGATCGTCTTTGAACACCCAGAGGGTGACGAGAGTTATTTTTAAACTTTTTAAGTATTTTTTAGCGAAAGCATTTATTTATAGATTAGCATAAGCAGACCGTGGCTTTGTGTGTTGATCGCTGAATCCCGCACTGTAGCTATGTGGTTTTGGGGATGTTTTTGTTCCCGCAGCTCTGAGGTGTTTACAGAGAGCTTCTTCGCTGTCGTCAGGCCCTCCTCAAAGCCCGGCTGATGAGGGACATGCCCGGGCGTCTGGGCCGTGCGGTGCTCACCCCCGATGAGCATGGTGCAGATGGAGAAGATCTTCTCGGCGTCCGTGTTGGCGCAGACGTTGCCGAAGCCCACGCTGGTGAGGCTGCTGAGGGTAAAGTAGAGCGCAGCGACGTAGGCGCTCCGTGGGGAAGGGCCCCCCAGCGTGCTGTTGGTGTAGGGGGTGTCCAGTCGTTTCCCTAATTCATGCAGCCAACCTGGCGGGGGAGGGGGGTAAACATTTCACAGATGGGGGATGCCGCTGCGTTTTTCTCAGCCGCCGCATGCGACAACGCCGAAGACGGCCAGCACTTCCTGGCTGAGCCGAATCCACATTTCCCGCTAAGCTGGTTAAAAATGCACCGCGCTGAGAGCAGCCGGTCCTTTCCCAAATCGGCTTAAAATAAAGCGAGGTGGCCGCCCAAACCTCCTGTCTGTTTCTCCACCAGCTTCCGGTGACTATGGCCACCCAGGGGGTGTGTCTATGCGACCCCCAGGTCTTCCCTCATCAGATAATTAACACAAAGTGTGCCTCAGCAGGTCACCGAGGTTACCCCTCCCAGCTGGGTGGTGGGGGAGAATTAGCCTTCCTTAATGTGAGAAAAGACCCCATTTTAATTATTCTCCCCGACCAAGATGTCCCTGATGGAGGGATGTTATGAGGCCCCCACCAGCTCATTTCTAATTGCACAGCAATGATGCTGCCTGGCAGGTCACTGCAATTAGCACCTCAAAAACCCCTGGGATGCAAAAGTAGAGGAGTGAACACGGACAGCAAGTTTCTTAGTCAAAGGTGAAACACCTCACTACCGAGACAGCTCAAGTATCCCCCCGACAGTGCTGCCTTGATTTTGATAGACGTTGGGCGTTTCCCTGGCAGCAAATGTGATCATTTGACCCAATGAGAATGTCTAACACCCACTCACCGATGTCCCAGGTGACGGGATCATTGCTCTCCATCTCCTTGCGGCCAATCACGTACCAGATGCAGGCCATCCAGTGAGCCAGAAGGGCGAACATGGACATGAGCAGTGTTAGCACCATAGCGCTGTACTGGGAGTACCGGTCCAGTTTCTGGAGCAGCCGCAGCAGTCGCAGCAGGCGCACCGTCTTCAGCAGGTGGACCAAAGAAGTCTGTGAGAAAAAGCGAGGCCTTATGGGTTCGATCGCATGGGCAAGATGGCTAGAAGCTATCAGTCATCTACACAAGGTGCTCAGCGCTAGCTGTGCTGCACATATTACCCCAGAGGTAATACATTTATTGTCTTGAAATGAGTTCATTCTGCAAGAAAAAGCAATGAAACGGCAAAGAAACCAGCCTTCGAAAGAAAAAAAGATTAAAGGACTCGCAGAAGATATAGTTCAGACACCGTAGGAAGTGTTTTTAATCCAGAAAAAATGGATCTGAAACAGGCTGCTTCAAAATACGGTCATTATTTTTCATCTGGTGTAAATGGCTGATAGCTTCCATATTTCACATAAACAAGGCGAGGTAGGATGGTCGTGCATCTCGTCTGCCTTATAAATAGTTGTGCAGAAACTAAAGGAAGTGTGAAAGGATGTGCGAGGTATATATTACCTGTGAGACCGAAAACAACTGTGATTAGAAAAGCAATGGAATAAAATGCAGATAAGTAGGAAGTGTGCAATGTTTTGAATAAGTGATATGTACAGGCATGAAGTATTTTAACCTTGGCATCGTGATTTTGTGCGTGCAAATAGCGATGGTCTGGTTACCTACCACGGTGATGTTGAATGCATAGAGGAGATCAAACGGCAGAGCTGCAATTAGGTCGACGAAGAACCAGGTCGCAGCGTAGTGGATGCAGATGGAGCGGGCGTCGTACACCACCTGGCCGGACTGACTCACGTAGGTGGTGCGAAAGTTCAGAACAATGTCTATGGTAAAACCAACAAATTCAGCAGAATCTTATAAAGCTTTCTGACATCAGGTTAAACATAGTCACAGGTAGATTTCCACAAAATTAATTCAACGTATGTAGAGCACTGCTGTAAAAACACAGCATTTATGTCAATATCTGGAAAATACACAACTCACTTGCAACACAATGTCATACATTACTTCAATCTGACACTTTATTCCTCAGGTTCTTCCTCTCATGCCTCCCATTGCACAACTGACAGTATTTGATCCCATTCAAACATTTTGACATTATTCGGTGACACTACTTTAACTACACCTTCATAATCCCTCCATAGAACATTGATATGCAGCATGAAAGTAGACCTTAACATCCTAATCTACCTTAGCTTTAATATACATTAATAACAAACATTATACTATTATATGAGTAGAGTCAGTGCAGCTACAACGCGACTGTTGCATTTCTGAAAAACCTGGCATTCACTAAAACCGCCATTCCCTCGTTGTCTGAGTCAATTATTGTGTTGTGTTACAATTAAAATTAAAACTACTGTACGTATGGACTGTAGGCCTATGTGTTCGAGCACCCCCGCAAATCCTTCAACGCCAGGTGCAGCCGAATAATAAAGAAATAAAGAATCCTACTAAATTCATTTAACGCGGTAGAGTCTGGAACGGATTAACCGCGATAAAGGAAGGACGACTGTACTAAAATACACATATTCAATGCCACTACAAAACTTAGTAACTTGCGGCAAACAAAATGTAAGCAAATGTAAGTGAATTTAAAAAGGGTGCTATGTGGTTTAATACGCTTCAATGGACCTACAGAAAGTTGGATTCTTTTAGATTTGAAACCCGGTTCAAGCTATTCACTGAAAATAATCGATTCAAATGAACAATTCTTTCACGAATCGGACATCACTGTCATTCACTGTTTTTACCTGCAAGAAGTGATTCCCACTAAGACCATATTGTGTTCTAGTTTGCATAGTGCTTTCCTCTCCTCTCCGACTGAAAGTCACACAAATACAAATGTGACTCCGCGTTTTATTGGATTTGGGTACAAATACATCAATCACGTTACAACAGATTCGCCGTGTGATATTACGCGTTGTAGCAGGACTGGCTGTATAATATTTGTTATCATCATATAATGCTTGTTATCAAAGTATATTAAAGCTGTTAAGGCATGGGCGTAGATTATGGAGGGGGTGGGGGGGATTGTGACCCCCGCAATAATCAAACCTGGCTAATAAAGTCCCGACAATAATCATGGTCCCCCCTAAAAGGGTGGAAACCTCAACCCCCACAATCTTCAAACCAAAGTTACACTCTTGTGTTATGGTGTGTTAGGGTGTTAAGGTATACTTACATGCTTCTTATGAATGTTCTATGAATGCATTATAAAGGCATTATGAAGGTACAGTCAATGTACAATATAGTGTTACTTATTTTTCTGAAGTACTTAAGGGTCTTCAGGAATACGCCACCAGGCCGACGGGATGCTGTTGGCTCACCAAGGATGAATAGCATCTCCACGGCGATGTCACTGACGATGGTGCTGCGCGATGCCGTCTCCAGGTCATCGGGCGTGGTGAAGCACACATTGTAGGGCACGGTGACGGCCACGTAGAAGGTGGCCAGCAGGATCATCCAGTCCCACAGCGCCTTGGAGACGCTGTAATGCAGCAGGATGAAGCGGGATTTCTGCACCGCCGCCACCTTGTATTCCGGGAGGGACGGCTTCTCAAACACATCCTGGAACAGAGAAATACGCTGCTACTCCAGTGCATGAAAGCAATTAGGACGGAGACTTCCATCATCCCTTAGGGGTTGAGGGATAGCCTACAGTCTATCCCAGGCAGCTTAGGGCACAAGGCAGTTCATCACAGGGCACAACCCCACACAAGGGCAAACTGGAGACACCAGTTCCCCCAGCTGCACGCTTCTGGATGCTAGCAAGAAACCAGAGTACTTGGCGGAAACCCATGGAAACATGGAGGTGGGGGGGAGGGCTTTACAGTTGGAAATTCAATTTTGATTTTTAGTTTTATATTTTGCCTTCAGTTCTATATTTTGGATTTAATTCTATATTTTGGATATTTTATGTGATATTGGTGAAAAATTATTATGATAAATTACGTAATCACAAAATGAAAAAAGGATAAATAAGCCAGAGTAACAAGTGAAATTAAAATGCATAAGAGCCTTTTGGCGCTTAAGCATCATGCAGTGGCTGACATGTAACATTTCATTATCCAGAATCGGTAGAAAAGCAGCTCCAAATCCTCACAGGAGTATCGAAATGAATTTTCTCCTGAACATATACACCAAGTGCATTTTACTGGATAAATATTCTTAATGAGCTGTCAAGGACTGGAGTGAGGCTGCTTGGTACTGTATGGTATGATAATAAAAATGCACCTGGAAAACTGAGCAGTGATCATTTCCATCATGTATTTATCAATACAAGGATAGAATAACATTATAACTGCATCATATTCATCAAAATTTTGACGTCATTTGAATATCTCACCTTTCCCCAGCTTCAGAAGCAAAGATGGTGGAAGGGTGCCATTTGAGACCAGGTTATCTGTTACCTGATGACCCCTGCAGTCATTCTGTCGCCACCGGCAATAACATACTGTAGGCAATCACCTTTCATTTCAGCTCAATTAAAATGCCACTTACAGTAACTCATTTTTAATTCAGTTTTGCAGAAAAAGCAGTTTTAGCTGACAAGAAGACCCGTTTTTGTTTGCTTCAGTTTCACTTCTTTTTATCCATGTATCTCAGTCAAAAAAATAAAAATAGGTGAATTCTGTTTTTCTGTATCCACTTGTCCTATGCAAGGTCGTGGGGGTCCAGAGCCTATTCCGGAAGCTACAGGGACAAGGTGGGGAATAACTCAGGATGGGGTATAAATCACTGCTGAGCGTTCTTGAACTCTGTAGTTGTGATAGCTAATGGAGAGTCTGCAAGGTCCCTGAAAACAACAGATTCTTCTTTAAAGAGCGCTTAGATGGCACTAATGACTCTAAATCAGCACGACTCCCTTTCCAGACCTCTTTGGAAAAGGTGACCATTGAGTGTGCACTTTTTCTGCCAGCCAGAGCAAGGCTCAGATTTACGCTCAGCATTCCCGAGTCTGTTTCCTCGCAAACGTGCTCACGCTCGCGTTAAAAAGCAGGTCGAGGCAGCCGTGCTCATTTGAAAATGGGTCACTGTAGATTACGCAGAAAGGGAGGCAGGGCAGATAGTAATGCGTTGGCAGTCCCAAGGAGGCCACGAAGCAGCGGCTAAAGAATAAAAATCAGGCCACAACAGGTTTAGGTGTGTTTTCTGGTAACAATATAGTTTTTTTTTTCTTAAAGGGGAACTCCAACCAAAGATTTTTGTAAGTTTGTTTTGTCCATCCACAGATAGGTGGAAAGGAAATTACATCACATGAACCTGGAATTATCCTTTTCTCTGTGTATTTTTAAAACAATTACCGCAATTACGTCATTGTTTATGCTCTAAGGTTCTGAGTTCCAGAATTAATGCAGATTGTCAGTATTTTTACAAGTGATTGTTATTTGTGACTAGTATGCTATATGTGTTCATCTGTATATGTTATGCACAATGGGAAGGACATAAGGGTAACTACAAGCCTGCATTGGGTGATGAAAATGCATGGATATATGGATGTATTCAATGTCAATTTCACATTAATAATGGTAACAGCAACATTAAAAGGCTCTCCCTTTCCACCTGGGTTTCATCGGTCTAATTCCTCATGAATACTTGGTACATACAGTACTATGAAAAAGTCTGCACTGGTTGTTTTTCAGTCCTATTCAGTTTAGGTTCTGGATCTTGATTATGCTGTTTCCCTTTGAAGGTCTACATATTCTGACCACTTAACAATCACAGAGTGTTATAGGATTCATTATACCACATAAAAATGTAAAAAAAAAAAAAAAAAAAAAGGTTCCATCATTTGCTTGGTAGCTCGAATAGAATTCAACTGTCAATCATTTATTTATTACTATTTACAGTATTAACATTATGCACCTTACATTTGGGTAAATAACACCTCTGCGAAGACAAGCAAGCCATGTGCCCCAAGAATGGCTCCCAAGCAGCTGGAAAAAGGATGGATGGTTATATACCACCGTAAGTCTTTACTGCTTTTTTAATGAAATGTGAATATGCAGGTCTACTCTTGATAGGACCTTAAATTATGGCCCAGTTATGCCTGTTTAATTAAGAGTTTGACTAAAGCAGAACTAGCATTTACCGGGGTGGGTGCTCCCAGACAAGGACTCAGAACCTACTGGTTTAGCCCTATTATGTCCAATTTAATCTACTCTGTCATCACTCCTAGATCCCAGTGTTTCTTATTTAAGAATATGGGTGTACTGAAACCTAACCTAGAGTGCCTTTCATAAGTATTCAACCCATTTGGACATTTCATATTTTGTAGGGTTACAACCTGGAATTAAAATAGATTTAATTGGGATTTTATGTTAAGGATCCACACAAAATAGTCCATAATGTTGAAGTTGGAAAATGATATATTTTTCAGAATGATGTAAAATAAAAGCAACTATTGAAAAGTCTGTATTGTATAAGTATTTACCCCTTTGCTCTGGTGCAAATAAGTATCTTAGGAAGTCACAAAATGAATTGAATGGAATCAACCGGGGTGCAATTTAAGTGTCATTTGAATCCAAAATAAATGCACCTGTATATGGAAGGGCCCAAAACTTTGTTAGAGAATATATTTGAACAAACAGCATCATGAAGAACAATGAGCTATAAACACAAGTCCAGGCTACAGTTCTGCAGAAGAACCACTCAAGGGTGGGTTGTAAAAAAAAATATCCCAAACTTTGACCATGCCCTGGAGTACTGCCTGGAGAAGGTCATCCACAAAAACACTGTGACCAGGTGAGGAAGACATTGTCAGAGGAGCAGTAAGAAGTGAGTGGTAACTGCAAAGGAGCTGGTAAGATGTACAGCAGAATGTACAGCAGAGACAGGAGCAAGTGTGAGGCTACAAGCTGGCTGATCTACTGAGTGGCTCAGCAGGCAAAGCTGTGTGTCTTTGACCAGAAGGTTACTAGTTCAAGCCCTAGCCTTGGAATAACAGTCACATGTCTGTGGGCTGTTGAGCAAGGCTGTTACCCCCCCCAGCTCCAGGGGTGCTGCCTGTTGGCTGACCCTGTGCTGTGACCCCCAAGCTATAGAGTGCAAGATGGTACGTGTGCAAGTAGCAAATAAAGGATTTATCATTTAAAAAGGGGGGGGGCTTTATGGGAGCCATCGCTGAAAAAAACTCACATGAAATCCTGTATCAAGGGTTAAAGTTTGGAGTGAACACTGGTAATGGCCAAATCAGTCCTTTATCACCAATTCTGTTCATAGTTTTTATGGACAGAATTTCTAGGCGCAGCCAGCATGTTGAGGGTGTCCGGTATGGTGACCTCAGGATTAGGTCTCTGCTTTTTGCTGATGATGTGATTCTGTTGGCTTCATCGGACCGTGACCTTCGGCTCTCACTGGGACAGTTCGCAGCCGAGTGTGAAGCGGCTGGGATGAGAATCAGCACCTCCAAATCCGAGACCATGGTCCTCAGCCGGAAAAGGGTAGAATGCTCTCTCCGGGTCGGGGATGGATCCCTCCCTCAAATGGAGGAGTTTAAGTATCTCGGGGTCTTGTTCACGAGTGAGGGAAGGATGGAGCGGGAGATCGACAGGCGGATCGGTGCGGCGTCAGCAGTGATGCGGGCGCTGCATCGGTCTGTCATGGTGAAGAAGGAACTGAGCCAAAAGGCAAGGCTCTCGATTTACCAGTCGATCTACGTTCCTACCCTCACCTATGGTCACGAGCTGTGGGTAGTGACTGAAAGAACGAGATCATGAGTGCAAGCGGCCGAAATGAGTTTCCTCCTCAGGGTGGCTGGGCTCTCCTTTAGAGATAGGGTGAGGAGCTCGGTCATTCGGGAGGGACTCAGAGTAGAGCCGCTGCTCCTCTGCATTGAGAGGAGCCAGATGAGGTGGCTCGGGCATCTGATTAGGATGCCTCCTGGACGCCTCCCTGGTGAGGTGTTCCGGGCATGTCCCACTGGGAGGAGGCCCCAGGGAAGACCCAGGACACGCTGGAGGGACTATGTCTCTCAGCTGGCCTGGGAACGCCTCAGGATTCCCCTAGAGGAGCTGGATGAAGTGGCCGGGGAGAGGGAAGTCTGAGACTGCTGCCCCTGCAACCCGACCTCAGATCAAGTGGGAGACAATGGATAGATGGATGGATGGACCTGTTTAAATTTTAGTTGAATACCCCTGTCCTAGGTCCTTCCATAGGCGACGTTGCTAACTAAATATGAGTTTAAAACTGACAAATGAGTTTAGTCACTATGTGTGCACTGATTTTCTTATTCCTCATACAGAGAACTGACTTTAAATTTTGTATTTTTAAATAAATATATTTTAACTGAGCAGCATGGATTGTACTGTGACAAAAGGAAAGCAGAGAAAGCTAAGAGGAAGACTGAAAAAGAGTAGGGTAGAGACAGAGAAATAAAGGTCTTCTGCAGACATATATTTAAATGAATAGGTAATGATTGTAACCAACCACTAGTTTGTTTATGAAGGTGCGGGTTGATTTAAGACAAGGGAGTTAATACCTACTTCAGAATTTATTTTCTTCCTTGTTATTTTTTGCAGTATTCCATTGATTTAATAGAATGTTGAGAATTCAACCTAAGGAATCTCAATTAAGCAGGATCTGCAGTTATATTTTGATTTGTAAGTGATTCAATTGAAACTATTCAGTGATAGAAATTGGCAAGCAGGGCCTGACTGTTTTCTCGCATTTCCTTCCCTTCATCACTGAAACTTGAAACTCAGTGCTGAGAAAATAAAGCCAAGCAACAGTTAGAATTTTTGAAAATATGTCACATACTGTATGCATGTTAGATTGTCACTGGAAAGCTGCCTGAGGAGATGTGGAAGCCCGTAGCAGTGACAGGCTGCTGTCATATCAGGGGGAGGAGGCCAGGAATTAGAAGGCTTGTCAAACACCAGGGAGGTAGCAGGAGCTGCAGAGTGCCAGCTGGAGCAAGTGCAGATTGGCTACAAACAGGTGAGTATGGTGTGCAGTGTCAGTGCAGTGTGCTTGGGTCATGGCTGGATGAAGGATGCCTGGATGAGGGATTTCTGGATGAGGGATGCAGTAGCCAATCCTGTGTAAATGCAGGCAAAACGTGACAGGAAAGGTTATATGAATTTGGATAACTGGATCCCCCTCACTGTGGAACAGACATGAGTCACCTGCAGTTCTGAAGCGAAAGAGTGACGTTGAAGAATCTCCACATTCTCCATAGTCTGTATTTATTCCAAGGACGCTTCAAGGAGATTCCCCAATAGGCTTGGATGCACAGCCTCAGATGTGCATGCATGAGTAATTCCCATATGTGTGCATTTCATAAACCTTCTTTTAACCCACCCCCCCCTTGTTTTGTCTTTCACCTTGTCAGTTTGCTCCTGAAGGAAGAGCTCGTTTAACATGCGCATTTACATGACCAAATACTCTCCTTCGGGGTGTGGAATTAAGCGAAAAATGAACAGGAACCTAAGAAGAAGGAAAATACAAAGTGGAACAAGTGTGAAGGACTTACAATTTACCCTGTGTGTTATTAGTGCTTTAGTAACATTTGTAAATAGACCCTAAACTTATAACACTGAAATATGCAATAAGAAAAGGTAGGAGTTTGCTTGTGCCAGAATCCGAATGAGTGTCTTGCACCCCTCTAGCATGAGCTCTTGAGATGAGAGTGACTTTGAAAGTATCCTGGAGTGTCTACCAGCTCCAAACATCTGCTACGGAAAGCAGGGATGTGCACTGAATACTCCAGTAACCTGAGCCTGGGTGGAAAGGCAGTCGCTCTGAAGCAGAGCATGTCGGAAATATCCGGGTGATTGCGGGTCTGCAGAGATTTGTACGTGCATAATTTCTTTGTGAGTAACAAGCAAATTAATTGTTGTTAGCAAGCAAACTGCTTGAAAACTTAGAGATCTCGAAGATAAATATAGATCACACAATATATATCCAAAGGTCTTGGGGCATTAAGCCACAGACAGCTTGGTGTACTACTGTATGCACAGCTGTCATCTTGACATGGAGTCAACCTTGAATGTCAGCCTTTATTTCCAGTATAACTTTAATAACAGACTGAGCCTTCAGCAGTAGATCGGAGGTACAGCAGGCCCACCTAAACACATCCTCCCAATGTCTGCATATCGCTTTCTACTGCGAGTAACTTGTTGCTTTTACTCGATAAGAGTTTCCTGAAAAAGAGATACACAAACCTCACTGTGGCATGACTCCATAGTCAAAATGATTATGGTTCAGAAAATCATGAAAGAACTCAATCCTAGAAATCAGTAAATTAAGAAATGAGTCAGCTGCTACTAGATACCGCTCTGGGGGAGAAAAATTACAGCGTTTGAAATAAATCTATTAATCAGATCATCATGCATTTATGAATAACATTAACTCACTGAGACTGAAATATAAAAGGCACGTCCTCATTGCCTGTGTGGCGCTGCTCAGTAACTCGGTGGTGTGGCTGATTCTCCTTGATGGGGGAGACACAGAGCAGGGGGGAATTGAGGGCATGTTGGGTGTTTTTTGGGTGTATCTGTTGTGTCCTGGGATTTCGGAACAAGAGGAAGGTATGACATTGCAGATCGGTCGCTGAACCGCCCCATAACCCCACCATCTGCTTGGAGGGAAGACCGGAAGGTCGGCACGCGTCTCCGACAGGTGAGGGGGAGGCAAAGCTCGCTGAGACCCAGGGAGGGGCCAGGTGGGCTGGCCTGAAATGGACTGGCCGTCTCGCAGCCAGAGGAGCTGCCCGACAGGATGCGGATCCGGAGCCAAACCCTGGCTGAGCTTGCACTCCATCAGACCATTAGGTAAGAAGCGGTAAGTTCACTACGTCACGTCCCATGTCCCATCTGGCCTAGTGGAGAGCTTTCAAGAAAAAATGTCAAGCATCCTCTCTCCATCCTAGAACACAAATTGGATTCTGTCGTTGCCTGAAATGTCATTTTAAAATCTTATTTAAATATGGAAACAATTCTGTCCGTAGCGGCATTTTAGCAGTTATATATCCACAGATACAATAACAGGCTTCTATACGGCTTAAAATAAAATACATCCAGCAGAGGACCTGTATTGATGGAGAGCAAATGACTGGCAGTCACATAAAGAAAAAGAATGACCTTTTAAAGGCTTCAGCATAGTCATCAGCACATCATTTTAAATGAATAAATTTTTCATTTTTAAAGGACCTAAAATAACTGAGTAATCCAGCTTGCCGTTTGTTGACACGCCCCTGACCCCACGGTCCTGTCACATCTCATGTATGTGTCACATCAGAAGGGTTTTGCTGCACGGCTTCTGATGGCCAGTTATTAAAGTATCCCCAGCAACCTCAGACCAGTTTTCAATTTTCTAAGCCTATGTGCCCCTGCAGATAGATAATAAATATTAGCTTTATGAGAGAGTGGTCAGTGATCAGTTTGTGTGCCTTTGTTTAGGATATCACACATTTGCAGAACATGGAAAGTAGGTGTTAGAGAACAACAGCAGCAAAACATAGTGAAATACATAGAAGGCGGCATGTTATTAGCAGCACAGTGAAAGGGATAAACAGGGCAATGAAGCTCTTCTTTAAGGCACAAACGGCAGCAGTGTCAGAGTCTGGCAGCTACAGTGACATCAGCAGTGATGTAATCACAATCTGCACGCCTACCAGCTGCATGCAGTCCTGAGTTTAGGCACATTAATAGCACTGATTATGGAATGGCATCCATACTGCTGCTTCAGTGCACTGGGCAATGATATTAATGCCCTGGGGTTCTGGTGCAAGAAATAAAACTTTCTGTTAAATGTATGTGAGAACATTTTGTGTTCTTGTTGAATAAAGTGGCATATAGGCAGCTTAAAATAATAGGCAGGTTGTGCATGTCTTGCTATTGGACTTGGATTTATGCAGTGGGATAAGTCATAATGAAATGCAAATTAATTCATAACTGCATCAAATAAATAAGCACAGAGGTTTCTAGAGAGACCATTCGATGCATTTGAGTATGGTAATTACCTTGAGTTGTTGCTGCAAAATAATTTGCAGGAATCAATAAACTACAAAAGTACTTACTAAGTGACTACAATAGTTACTGATAATAACACTCATCGTCTTTATATAATACGTAGAGTAGGCCCACACACGCCTGTGGTAGAGCATGATACATGCTGTGGACTTCGGGGCTTCACTCACGCTGCTTAGTTTGACCTCGCTCTTGCTTCTTCTGGAGAACTGACTGGTCAGTTGGTAGAGCACAGTGCGCCCCCTCCGCCTGGCCTCCGTGAAGTGCGAGCTGTTGGTCTTCCTGCTCCGTTTCTTGTCTTCTGCCAAAAGAGTGGGAGGGAGACGTCTGACCAAGGGGTGCTGGGGAAGCACCCTGTCATAACTAACAGGCCCAGGTCCTACAGCTCAAACGAAGTACTCATTTGTTAAATTTCAGCCAGTGAACATCATGGCTGTTGATTAAATTGCCCATTTGCGTTATGTAGTTGTGAATAGCCCGTACATTTTCCCAAGCTTCTGCTCCCCATCTCCTACCTTCCTTCTTGCTGCCATGGTGATTTTTTCCGTGCGTGTCAGTAATATCCTTGAAGGAGAACAGAAACAGCACCATCTCTCCTTTCTCATTCTTGATGGGCACGATATCCAGCAAGCACCAGAAAGAGGTCCCTGGGTGGGATAAAGGACAAAAGCTGTGAGATGCAGACAATGGAGCCTGCGACATGTGCATCTGATGGCCAATTTGAACCGTGCAGATGCTCTCATTTACTGATAGCGTTGGAGCGACCTGACTGGGCATGGATGTCCAAAGAAAGGCAAAGTCAGATGACAAGCACATCCATTCACTTCTCCCTGGCTTTATCCTCAGTCCTATAATAATTTTGGCTTGACTCTCTGGCCCAGACCCTGATGTTCCAGCTGACGCTCCATCGTAGCCCCTTTCCAAGACCCTAACATACATTTCGTTTTGTTTTTGCTTACATTGATGCCAAAATTATGGTCTTTTGTTTTCATTCATTTCCTAAACATGTCTCCACTTCTATACTCACATGAAGTCCCTAGTGGTTCTGCTTGGCCTCCTCCTCCTGAATACAGTCTTATACCAACTAACCTATTTAACAATCCCTTGTAAAAATGTTTATGCTTGTAATAAACAAACCAATTATTCCAAATGATAATCTGTGGTCATTGCTTTAAATATCAAAGTCTAAGAGCACTGAGCCATGCTATGCCGTATTTTTCAAACTCATGAGCTAATTATAAATAGCATCATTAATTGTTATAAATCACTGTATAAACCGCTGTGCTGAGCATCCCACATTGGTAGATAGATACCACTTCATTAAGAGTTTTTTTCAGAGCAGCCTGGCAGGTAGGGATAGGGCACGTACTCTGGCAGACTCAGACCTGAACCCCTGCCAGCTCATTAAAAGTTTGTTAGAAGACAGCCACTCCGGACTCACATCAGAGCTTGTGGTGGTGGAGTAGCTGTCGTCCCCGAATGGGGACCTTGGGTGACTGCTTGCACAGACCTGCATCAGGCATTGGGTGGGATTTGCAATAAAGTCAGAGAAGAAAAAGGCAAATCCACAGTCTTTGACTTTAAGGGGTGTAGATCACACTAACTGCGTTCCAGATAAATCAGCCTGATGACAAAACTGACTCTTCCCTAGTCAATAATGGACTCTAAAACTTTGCTGAAATGCCAGTGCGACAGAGTAGAACCCTCCATGGTCAGTCCATCTTACTCATGGATCCACTATCAGTGACACAATATTGTGAATGTTGGCATTCCAGTGAGCACCATCCAGAGCGAAACAGCAAGCTCTGTGGATGGTGTGAGAACGGTCATTTTTAGCAATATGCTAGCCAAGCCATGCTCAGCTTTTAGCGAACAGAGGGGAATCTCTTATGTCAGGATGTTAGAAACCTGCCTAAAGACCTACAGTAGTGAGATGGAGGTGGACAGGAGGAATACACCTTGATTTTCAACAATGACAATACCTAATCGCTTTTGGCCCTCTGAAGAACGACCCTTTGCTACTAATGCTCAGCTCTAACATACTGATGTCTAACCTTGGACTTTAATGCATAGAACATGCTGGGCATAGCGAAAACCACACATCTGGTTTTATGTTTTTTTTTCATAAAAATTTCTAAAATGAAAATTTATCCAGCAATTTTCAGAGCCACTGTCCCACCCACCTGACCCCTTAGCCCAGTGTTTCCCAATCCGGTCCTTGGGGACCCGCAGTCGTTCCATGTTTTTGCTCCCTCCCAGCTCCCTGCCAGGCAGTCCATATTTTTGCTTCCTCATAGGTAGCAAAAACGTGGACTGTCCGTGGGTCCCCGAGGACCGGATTGGGAAACACTGCCAGAACCTGCTTCAGAGGTAACGATGAGGCCTTACCATTCTTCTTGTAGAATTTCACCTCGGTCTGGTATTCTTCTCTCCCCTCAAGGGCCTTCTGCATCTGTTGTGCTACATGCTCACTGGTCTCTGGCCCGTACAGGAAGCGGCAGCTGCAGTTCTTTTGCATGACCTCTGTCCGCACGAAGCCCGTGAGCTCACAGAAGCCATCCGAACAGTATACAATGGGGTAGCCGCGATGGCCCTGGGCATTGCCCAGCAGGAAGTTGCTGTCTGTGGATGTCAAAGAGAGAGAGAATGTTTAAAACTATGCTTGGATTTGTGAGGCAGTTCATGCATTTTAAATACTTACCTTTCCTCGGGATTAGCCAATTTGCATCAAATTACAAAATGCCATTGAAATATATGCTGTGCATTTAGACAAAATATACAAGCACGGAAATCATTTGAACTGGCACTAAAATTATCTCTGTATCACATGCTGACCTGAATCAGAAATGCTGTGAATGACATTCTTGGTTTAAGTCAAAGATCAGCAATATCAACTGATGTAATTTCCAAGTCAGTTTTGCAGGAGGTCACGATAGTAGAAAATGTATAATTCATCACTAAAAACTATTTCAGACACTACTTCTGTTACAACTTTGTGTGGGTGTCCCCTGGGGATTTCAGCATGCAATCACAGCCAAAAGACAAGCTGAAGGCTCTTCGTTAATTAATTAATTAATTAATTAATCAATCAAGTGTGTGACTGTATGATTAAGAGTATCCTGCGATGGAATATTACCTCATTCAGGGTGGACCCTGTTTTATATCTTATTGGTTCTGGGTCACTGCAGCTGTAATTGCACTACTGGTTGCTGGTATGAGACGGATGGGTGAATTTATAACGGCTCCTTCTCCTTCTCCTGAGCAACCAAGGTTAAAAATAATCGTCCAGTTACAGTCTTACACACTATACTATATAGCTGTATGAAGTGTCTCAGGATACTGAGCTCTGAACGGAAGCAACATTCAAACAGATGTTTTAGCAAGGTTTTCTCGGCACATTTTCCATGCACATTTTAATTAGTATAATTATGCTTGATTTTAATTAGTATAATTATGTGACAGAGATACTTTAAACACTAAATTAAATTTCCTGTATAATTAAAATATAAAAATTGCACTAGTGAAAGACATGGTTAAATCAAACATTTTAAACAAGCACATGACTAATAAACCCATTTTAATAATACACCATTCAGTGAGACTGACTGGATCAGAATACGGCCAGAGGAGTGGAAGTTCAGAGGAGCACAACCCAGAAGGTCTCTGACTGCCCCTCGCTCCATAACTGCGCTTTTATTTCAAAATATTTACGGCTCACATCGTTTTCCATTTTACTTTGTTATTCACGACACAGCCAGGTGTCAAGGTCACAGCAGGCTGATCATACTCCAGTCAAACTGCAATGTCTAACATGAGTAACACAAAGAAAGGCTAACTGTATTTTAAAATAACAAAATAGACCACATTCAACCTATATTGCTTTTTTTTTTTTTTTACCAATGAAACATCTATGTTGTGATATATAAAGGGTACATATATGAAGAGATTCACTCAAATGAATGGGCACCAAACAGTAAGACTGCCTGTGCACCGCAGTAGCATGAGCCCTGCGGATGGGCTCTCACCCTGCGGATGGGCTCTCACCCTGCCGGCATTTCAAGGCTGGTCGTTTTGTGAAGACTCACAGTCTATTCCCCTCTGTCTTAAGTGTTAACCAATTCTATTTCTAGATCGTTAAAGTTTGAGCACCACAGCACTTTGGGGCATCACATTTGTGCTGTGTTGAATTCACTCTGTCCTTCTGTTTTATACAGCACTTGCTCTTAATCATGTACTAAACTTATGACAAGTGTATTTTTATGTGTTAAATCTTCGATGCACACACAGGCATACTCTTTTTCCTCCCTCTCTGTCATGTTTTTATAAGCTATTACTGCTATTTTGATAGAGAGATGGAGAAACAGATGTGACTCTGTGAAATAACTGTGGCTCTGGGCCCTCTGGTTACCACCGTGTCTCTTTGGAATAAACAGCCTGCAGAAAGGAATACATTCCGCATTTGTATTGTCAAAACAATGACTCTGATTAAATTTGCACTTCATCTACGATCAGCAGAAAAAGTTGAGCAGAAAAAACCCTTGCAACCTGTCTGTACAGTATTGTATATTTAATAAAATGACCGTGTGACTGAGCTGAGGAGAATTTTAGTCTGCTCATTTTTTTGCCATCAAGAGAGTCTGTCAGGGTTGGTGTCTGCCTGGCTCTGTCCCATTTGTTCTGTTCCCTTTGTCCTGTAACCCTTACTATCTAGTGTGTTTTCCTGTCACCAGGGCTGCCATGTAGCTTAATGGGCTTAATGAGTGTGTAGCTCTGAAGCTGTCATCCCTCCACTCATGAGTTCAAGGTTGGCCTGATTCATTTTTTGTTTACTTTATTGGGTTTTGTTTTATCCTTGCTTTGGGTTTTCCAGAAATGAGGCAGGCCTCGGGCCAGCCTTGAAACCCATGACTGGAGGGGTGACAGCTTCAGAGCCACTCACTCAATCAAGCAAGATACATGGCAGCCTGGGGAATAGGGGAACACACTAGGGAGTCAGGACTAAGGGAACAGGATGGCCAGTGACACCTGCTGGCCAAATGGGACAGGGCCAGATGGGCATTGATTCTGACAGAGTTGAACTTTGTTCATAACCTACTTCTAAATCTTGTGTTAAGCCACAACTAAGGTTATGAACCTGCCTAAACTGTCAGTGTCGCAGAGTGTTTACAAACATGCTTTCTCTTAAATCTGTACCCAATTCACCATCGGCAAGGGCTGAAGAGGGAACTCTTGGACCCTTCATAAATTTAAACAGAAGCAGAGTAGAGCAGAATCAGGGGCAATTCTATGGTTTGACCCTTAGGGGTGCTCCTACCCCTGAAGAAATACGGGACACCTCCCCCACTTTCCCCACAATAAGCTGGGGGATATTTGTATAAAACAAAAACGGGACCGATCGCTAAATGGTTTCAGAAAAAAATATATTTCCTAAAAGAACTATTTTAGTTCTTCATCATAGTACTTCAAGGCCATGAGGTGGACAGAATTCCACGCCAGCTTTGACCTTCATACACTGAACAGAGAGGCTGTTTACAAGGGCACTTATTGGCCAACTAACTCCATTGACCTCCACCTGCGTGGGCTGGGAGAGCTCCCCTGGGAACTCTATAGCGTGGGCCCTGTATTAATTAGCTTAATTGCTAATGCCCCTTATTCCCCAAAGCAGGTAAACATTGCAGGGCGAGGGAATAGGAGGACTTCAGGGAAGAGCGGTTGATTTGCCTTCTAGATTATTAAAGCCAGCTTTTATTTAACTAGCAGCAAAGTACTGGAGAAATTCTGTACATCTATGCATTTTAAAGTCTATGACACAGCACTGTACTCCACTTTAGCATTTAGAATGGGAGATGATAGAAAGTGCGGAGATCACTGTGTCTTCATGTTACGGCAAAGCTCCTCACGAAGATGGCGGTCAGAGGATGGCTGGACTTATGATGCTGAGCTCAAAGAATCCAGAAGAATAAAAGCTCTAAATGGTCAAAAACGTAAACTTGACTCTTCCAAATACTGTTGCATATAGTGTGATTATTCCAAATACTTTTACTTACTGTCTGATTACTTATATGATTTATTCCACTTCAGCATCCTGTTTTCTATTTTTTTTTATCTTAAATTCTTCTTTTTCTTATACATTAGCTATGTGTACAGTGGTATGCCGCCGTCTTATTTATGTTTGCTGCTGTAAAAGGAAATTCCCAGTCAGGATACATCCATCCATCCAAGTACATCCATCCATCCATCCATCCTTCTTTCTTTCTTCAACAATGTTGACACAGCTGGCATACTGGGCTATTAAAACCAGGCCGGTTCCCACTGTCACCCCTGAATGTGGTGTACAGGCGTACAGTGAAGGACAGCCAACGGGCTGCTTCCGCAAATTTTCCGGCTTTCTCGTTTAATCTGCCTCCCCTAACAGGCGGTGAGTCACCGGGGGATGCCAGGGCAACGGCCAACTCCTGACAAGCCAAAGGCGACGGCAAAAAGAGCCACTTAGGACCACGGTCACATAGGAACCCGATTCCATTACCTGGGCCACGGCATGGAAGAACTGGCCAGGATGTCACGCCTACCGGACTATGGTATCCTCTGCCGTTTGGGAGAACATACAGTACTGCTATATTAAAAATCTGTTACAGCTCTTAAGGTTTATAATAAAACAGCAGCAGACATGAGTTTAGAAACATTATTGGTATGAAAGTATCAAGTACCAAGTGTGACTTTTTAATTACAAAACAGTTCCAGCCTAAATTTGTGAAATAAGTAGAATAGTTCAGCCCCAGTGATTACAACTGAATTCTAGTACCAAAGTCTCAGTTGACATCTGGCTTTGAGGACACAGGGATATGAGAGTAGTGTGCAGGAAAACATGATCATACCTTGAAATCTATTAAAACAAACACCCAATATCAACTTATCCAACGTTCAGAACTGCTTACCCAGCACACAGTCAGAGTGAGCATGACACTTATCCCAGGAAGAAAAGAAAAGGGCAGGGGTCACCCTGGATGGGATGCCAGTCCATCACAGGGCTCAGGAAGGGGGACACCCTGGATGGGAAGCCAGTCCATCGCAAGATATACACTAAGGGCAAATGTGACACAAAAATTTGCCTTTCTGCGAGTTTTATAGATTGTGGGAGATAACCAGAGAGCTCAGCAGAAACTTCTGCAAACTCCACACGCAGAGAATGGAGGCGTGATCCAAACCAGCAGCCATGGAGGTGTGAGATAACAGTACTACTGAGCCAACATGCCCCTCAGATACCTGACATGTGAAATGAGAAACATGGGAAAAATAAGCAATTTGCATACAACATATTACCCCGGAGTCTTTTAATTATCACAGAATCTGTTCGTGTGAAAGTGGCTAAATGTGCTGGATAGATCTATTCTCTCCATCCTACAGTGAAATGAGTAAACAAATGCCTTGTCTGACGAGTCCGGACAACAGGGAACTTGTATTCAGGGTCCATTAGAAGACATTTTCAGGCAGTGTCTGCTGGGTAATGCATTTCTGATGGTGATGACAGCATTATAATTGATCAAATCTTGTTGTCTGGGTAGGAATTATGCAGGAAGCAAATGCAATTCTGGACAGGTCAGTATATCTCACAGCTGCGTCAT